GTTGATGCCACGGTCGCGCTACACCGCTTTCGCCTGGAGTTCAGCTTCGTGTTGCTGAAGAGGGGGATGAGTCTGTGGGTAACGAGTATCGCGAGCTAGTGGGCGGACTTATGTATCTTTCGTCCTGTACTAGGCCGGACATTTCTCAGGCCGTGGGAGCGCTCGCACGTCATATGTCGAAACCTACCAATGACCACCTTTTGACGGCTAAGGGTGTTTTGCGGTATCTTGCTGGTACGCGCGATTTTGGTTTAGTGTTCGAAGGGAACGGTGGCCTGCAGGGTTTTGCCGACGCCGATTATGCTGGTTGCCCTGATACCCGGAGGTCGACCACTGGCTTTGTGTTTTTGCATTCGAACGCGGCTGTTAGTTGGTCCAGTCGTGTCCAGCCTACTGTGGCAGTTTCGACTGCTGAAGCTGAATACATGGCTGCTGCGGCTGCTACGCGAGAAGCTTTGTGGTTGAGGCAATTGTTCCTGGAGTTGGGGGTTGACGCTAACTGCGTCAGCATAGCGTGCGATAATAAGGCTGCTATTTCTCTTATCGAGAATCCTGGTTCTTCGGTGCGAACTAAGCACATAGATGTCGCTCACCACTTCGTACGAGAGCGAGTTGAGCGAAGCGAGGTTTGTTTTCGTTTTCATGAGTAGTTGCCTTACCGCTTATAGACGTGAGTCGAGCTTGGGTACCTGCGAGCAGAAGAGTGTGCTTGCTTCCGTGGGAGGAGGCGAGCCTGGTTACCGACTGTGCTATCTGCCGCGGGGCGGTGTAATGGGCAGACGACGCAGTGGAAACCTGTCAGTACTGACTATATCAACTCGCGAAATTGCACTTTCCGTCGCGCTCTCCGCGACTTGCCCTACTTTCTCACCAGTACGGCCCCGCCGTACCACCAACGAACAGCCGAGTACGCTCTCGGCAAATACACAGAAAACCTTGGTTTTCTTTCGTTACTCTCAGAAAACCTACAGTTTTCATGAGTAGTTGCCTTACCGCTTATAGACGTGAGTCGAGCTTGGGTACCTGCGAGCAGAAGAGTGTGCTTGCTTCCGTGGGAGGAGGCGAGCCTGGTTACCGAAACTTCAATAATCGCCGGTTGGGGTGCGAAGGGACCTGAGAGGAAAGGGGTGGCCTAGCCTTGCTCCGTGCGTTACACGCTGCCGAAAAGGCTCAGGCCCGGTGCAGCACCCTGTCAGTACCCCAGGGCCTTCGAGACCTTGAGCTTCGTGCCCACACTATCGGCCAGGTATACCAGCATGGCCTCGCGCGAACGCCAGCCCCCGTGGGCTTGGAACAACCGCTCATCGACACCCTGCTCGGCCGCCGCCGTCGCGCCACCTGAGCGCAAGCTGTGCAGGCCAAACAAGGCCTGCGCTTCACCGTGCGTGATACCCATCACCTTCGCCACGGCCTTAAGAACGTGATACCGCGCCTGCGCATAGCCGATCGCTCGCCCCTCCAGGGCCGTGGCCTTACCGGCCCGGGCGGCTTGCCCATTGAAACCCTGAAAGAGCGGCTGGTCAGCCGTGAGGCCCGACAGCTTAAGGTACCTCTCCAAAAGGCCCACTGGGCAGGCCACGCCCGCACCCCGAGCAATGCACACCACATTGCCTTCCCGGAACTGATCATTCTTCCACCTAGCAATAAAGACAGCGGCGTGCGTAGCGTGGAACTGCACATCTCGCACCAAGAGCCCTGCCACATCATCGTACCGGAAGAAGCCCGCGAAACACAAGGCCGTGTACGCGGCCATCATGACACTCCACACTGGGGCACCGGCGAAGGCCAACAGCCGGACGACGGCCACGATCACCTCGAGGGTTAGGGGCTCCTTACGATTCAGCACAGCCGTCCCGAGCGAGCGTTTCGCCGCCGCGCGCACAGCCTTGCAAAAGGGATGCTTCGTCGGGTTCGCCCCCTCACACGCCAAGTCATGCTGCATGAAAATCGCAGCACTCGCCAGCTTAACGGTCGCGTAACTTGATGCCGTTTTAGCCACCGATGTTAAGTGCATCCCCACCACGACCGGGCTTGCCGGTAGGTAGCAGTAGCCGCCCGCACGGCACCACGACTTAAAACCTTCCCACGGATACGCGTACACCTTCTTCGTGGAGGCCGCCCGTGATGACGCGGCAAACGCTTGACTCTCCGCCAGTAGCCCGAGATGGTTTGGCGCGACCAGCCTCCCCGCTCGCTCCCAGAAGGACGCGGCAAAGGCGTCTGAGCGGCCCAGCACAAAGGCAAGCGAGGGCACACACCGGTTCCCTGTCAGTGCCGGTTACTCCCGAGGGGTTGCCAGCGGGGCGTGCCACCTCCACCGGTTCTGGAAGGAAACCCGCACCGCCCACACCCGCCACCTGGGGGCCCCAACACCAAACTCATTCGCGGCGGTTTCCCCTGGCAAGAAAAGATCCTGCTGCTGATGAGGCAACTCGAGGCAGCCAGTGACAAACTGCGCCAACTCACCCTCGCGGGGGCACAGCAACGGCCACCACACCGCCGACTTCCACACTGGCAGGACAACCGTCCCGGTCGCCGCCTGGCTCTTCATAAACTCCAGCACCCTGCCCACCAAAGCGAATGGTGGGTTACACCAGTTGTTTTCTTTTCCCCACGCCTGCGAGAAGCAATTCACTGCCTCGGCCCCCGGACACCGAAACAAGGAGTTGAACCGCTTTAGCTGGGCATTCCCCGCTGACGCGAAGCGATCCACCGTGTGTGGGCCCCACTTGCGGTCGAGAACCTCAAACCAGACTGGGTTCAGCTTCCAGTCGTCCCCCTCCTTCAACTTACTGAAGTAGTCGGCAACCTCATTCAACTCACGAGGGATCCAGGACACACTCAACTGCACCTGGTGCTCCTTGCACCACCAGAAAATTTTTAAGGCCCACTCCTGCAAGTGTGCCTTCCGACTGCCGTGATCAACAATACGCTCCGCATTCTGGCTGTCCGTCAGCAAGTGCACTCGCCGCCCTCTCAGCTCTTCCTTCAGGGACTCGAGAGAGAAGAAGATAGCCGCCAGCTCGCAGTTCCCCGACGAAGTACGACGCAAGTCCCAAGACAAGTACCCCCGTGCGACCGGTTGCACTGAGCGTAGCCCTGGGCCTGACACAACACCCGCCCAGCCTGTAGCGCTAGCGTCAGAGTTTACCTCCAGCACGTTGACCTCCGGGGGTCGCCTGATAGGGCTAGTCAGCCGCTCCCGGTCTAGCGACTGCCAAAAGCGTAATTCCTCCCGTACCTCCGGGGTAACCGAGACCTCACTCGACCACCCCCAACGGTCGGGCAGCAGGGCTGTCGACGCCCGCGTGAAGAGACGCCCCAAGCGCCCGACTACCACGTACATGCTCACCGCGTGTCCCACGACGCGTGCCAGGGTCCTGGCTGGAATGCTAGGCCGTGCTAAGGCCTCCGTGACCGCTCCCTGGAACGATTCCCAACGGTCTGGTGGGACTACAAACACCCCTTTAGCGCTGTCAACCAAATAACCCAGACAGCGCACCTCCGTCGTGGGAGTCAGCACGCTCTTCTCTTTATTCATGGCGACGCCCGCCCGCTCGAACTCACGCACGATCTCGTCCCGCCGGCTTGCGGCCGTGGCGCGATCCGACCCCAACAAGAACAGGAAGTCGTCTAGATAGTTAATGAGCCGATAGCCTTTGCCCCTCAGGTAGGCTGAAAACTCGCGCATAAGTTTAGAGAATGCCCACGGGGCAGACACGAGCCCGAAGGGCAACACTGTAAACACGTAAAAGCGACCTTCCCATTCAAAGCCTAGGTAATCGCAGGCGTCCTCGCGCATCCGGAGCTGCCAATAAGAGTTTGTGAGGTCTGCACTAATAAGCAAGTCGTTCGGCTGGATAATTTGCTCCAAGTCGGTCAGCTTCTCGAATTTGAACTTTGGGCAGTACACGTACTGGTTGACATACCGCAGGTCAAGGAGTAAGCGGAATTTGCCGGGCTGACGAGGCTTCGGTATCGCATTTAAGGGGTTAACGACCCGCGGGCGCACGCTAACCTGCCGCACAGCTCCTGCTGCCAGAAGTGCTGAGACGGATTCGGTAACAAAGGCCCGCTGCTCCAGCGCCCCTTGGTGATTTCGCATGACCCTCGGCGGCGGTGTGACGCCGGCCTGTTTCCACCACAACGGAAACCCCTGCTGCACCCACTGCTTGGTCCACGAGCTGGAGCAGACCGACAGCCACCAGTTGGCGTTCACATTGATGTTGCCAGACGCGGCAGGCAACCCGGCGCCTTGAACGACGTCACCACCCTCGTGGGACCCGGCCCAATCTGAACGCATGTTACACAAGGGCAACCGGCCGTGAGCCGGGCAAAGTCCGACACTCCCTCCTCGAGGGGGTCTACGTCTCTCCGGGACGTCATAGCACACAGCAGCAGCGCGCGGGCCTGCCACCAGCCCGCCGAGGGGCTACGCCACTCCGGGGCGTTCACACTCAAGTTATGGCTACATGCCAGTCAGGTCCTACCCCCCGATGGGGCCGTAATCACTCTCACTCACGCGCCCCGACGCGCACAAAACGCACTGCCGACCCACCGCCATCACCGTGGCGCGGGTGGATTCGAGCACATGTTCGCAAAGTGTCCAAACTGCTTGCACCTATGGCACTGATCCGTCGGCTTCGGGGCCCACGGCGGCTTGCCGCCACCCTGACTCATCGGGGCCATGCCCCCAAACTGCAGCCCCGGTGCGAAGGGCAGCGCCTGGTGCGGTAGCATTGCGCCCTGCACGGACCCGAACCCGACCTGGGCCTGGCCGAAGCCGGGCGAGGGCGCCACGAACTGGCGCTGACGGAAACCCGCACCGAACGGCTTCTGCGCCGAGGGCTTGTTACCCCTGCGCTCACACTCCTTCTCAGCAACAACACGCTTGTGCGCGGACAACAGCTTGCTACGCTCCTCCTCGGACTTGCAGCAGTCAGGGAGGTCCAACGACTCAACGGTTTCCCAACCCACCAACATAGCCTTACGCAGCCGCGTGTTCAGGTCCGTGAGCAAGTTCTCACCCTCGGTGATGGCGTCGTTAGTTGCCTTCTCCAACTCCTCAATCTGCTCCGGTGGGGCCTCGTCGCGGCGCGCCTCGCGTTCGTCCTCCAGGTTGCGGTTGACCTTCTGAAGGGCATGATAAATTTGGTTCAGCTCCCGGTTCTCCCGCTTGAGCGCCTTGTGCTCCTTGCCCGACTTGTTGACCCAGCCATCGTTGACGTAGTCCAGGTCCTTAAATGGGCGCTCCATGACGCGACCAGACTTATCGGAGACGAGAACCTTCATAGCTGGCTGCTCCATGGTCATCTCCAGTTGAGCAATGTGCGCGCTGACACTCGCCATTTGACTCTTCAAGGAGACGCAGGTATCCCAGGCGTGGCCCATCGCGGTAGAAAATTTCTTCTTGTTTAAACGTGCTAGAGGGTCAGAGGCCAGCAAGGAGGCGGCCTTCTGGTAGTCATCGGCTTGTTCGATTGCGGTCAACTGCGCGTGCAAGTCTGCATGCACCTTCTGTAGCTCTACCACTTGGTCACCAACTCTACGTTTAGCTGGCATCATAACGATGCCCGCGAACATTGCCACTAGGGCGACCTCTAAGCCGAGGAAAGGGAACATGGTTACCGACTGCGCTATCTGCCGCGGGGCGGTGTAATGGGCAGACGACGCAGTGGAAACCTGTCAGTACTGACTATATTAACTCGCGAAATTGCACTTTCCGTCGCGCTCTCCGCGACTTGCCCTACTTTCTCACCAGTACGGCCCCGCCGTACCACCAACGAACAGCCGAGTACGCTCTCGGCAAATACACAGAAAACCTTGGTTTTCTTTCGTTACTCTCAGAAAACCTACAGTTATTGTGGTACGGCTGATATGGTCGCCGATTGCATGACGAAATCGTTGAGTCATGCGATGTTCAAGCGATTCCGTTTGGCTATGGGAGTGCGATAGTCGAACAGGCTTGCAGACTGCCCGCGTGGGAGTGTTGAGGAAAATGTTGTCCGGTCAGTCTGTCGCCTGATGCTTGCGTGATGCTTGGTTTCTGGATAGAGTGGAGCCATCTTCCGTACTTGCTGATCGACTGTCGAACTCGTGAATAAATAGGAATGAGCCAGCGATTGTCTTTGGTCTGGTATGCTTCTAGAGTAGTGAGTTGTGGCTGAGCTGAGCCGTTAGTCGCTTTGTAAACGCTCTGGCAATCACTATTGCGTCCAAATCCATTCAGCCTTCAAGAATAATGTTAAGATATAGGCGAGTGGAACTGTGTAGGTAAAGCCAACCTCAACCGTTACAGGTATCACAGAACAAGCTTTCAGTCAAAACATCATCTCCTTTATACCAAACATTCCATCTTATCTGTCGTACAGCCATTAGTGTTCTGGCCGGAAGTCAACACTCCCCCTCGGACGGAACACTCGGGCTAATCCAACTCAACGAACACCCAGCCCTTCTCGAAACTGCACGAACTTCCCTTCCGGTAACGGCTTCGTGAGGATATCCGCTACCATGCTGGTAGTGGGACAATACTCAAACTTCACCTGCCCCATAGATACCCTCTCACGCACAAAATGATGAATCACATCGATGTGCTTCGCACGTTCCGAAACAATCGGATTCTTTATCAAACTTAATGCTCCCTGGTTGTCACCCCAGATACGCATCACATCGATCTCACACCCAAACTCGGGCAGAAGTTTCCTCAGCCAGAGCGCTTCGCGAGTAGCTAGGGACGCCGCCATATACTCCGCCTCCACAGTCGATGCTGCTACAGTCGGTTGCAACCGACTCTTCCAGCTGACGGCTCCACCGCCAAGGATAAAGGCATATCCAGTTGTCGAACGGCGGTTGTCTCGATCCACTGCCCAGTCCGCATCGGCATAACCCTCAATTGCCTTGCTGTCCCTGGCAAAACATAAACCGAAACTCGCAGTCCCCTTCAGATATCTCAGGATATCCTTAGCAGCCTCCCAGTGAGCCTTCGCCGGCTCAGACATATACCGCGCCAACTTAAACACAGCATGCGCGATATCAGGACGCGTGCACACTGCCAGATACATCAAACCACCAATCAACTCTCGGTAGCGCGTTGCATCCAACAATACCTGATCGATATCACTAGTACGGTGTGA